CTGAAAATAATAGTCATTTTCAAATGGCTCTATCTCCTAAACTATGCGAGCTACAGCGCTGAAATTCGCACACGATATATATCGTTGTTGTTTTTTTTTTGAATCTGAAATTTAAGTAGAGTTTCTCATGTAATAAGAACTCTCTTGAAAGACAGTGTTTTTACACTTTTTTTTTTTGGAAGAAATATACTTTTCTGACGACACTTTTGGGATTTTCTAAAAAAAAGCTTTCAATTGAAAAACGAATATTTCCTGTGAATTCTCCATACAATTTGGTACTAGGTCCGTAGTTTTTAGAAAAATCCGTGACATGTAGAAAATCGCACAATTTCGTCGATCCATGGATCGACGATACCTTACATTTTTTAACACAAAATATAAACACGCATATTTCACAAACTATATAACATAAATAAATTCTAGAGACACAGATGTGTTTGTAAATTCATGTAGTTTTAGAAAATGAAAGTTTTGTCATTTACAAATGAGAAATGTGGCCCATAGGATCCTTAAATTAAAAGCCTTGTATTTTCGCATCTTGCAAGCTCTGAAATTAATAGTCATTTTCAAATGGCTCTATCTCCTAAACTATGCGAGCTACAGCGCTGAAATTCGCACACAAGATATTACGTTGTTTTCTCTTTAATCTGAGATTTAAGTGGAGTTTCTCATGTAATAAGAACTCTCTTGAAAGAGAGTGTTTTTACACTGTTTTTTGGATGAAATATACTTTTCTGACGACACTTTTGCGATTTTCTAAAAAAAAGCTTCCAATCGAAAAACGAATATCACCTGTGAATTCTCCATACAATTTGTTACTAGGTCCGTAGTTTTTAGAAAAATCCGTGACATGTAGAAAATCGCACAATCTCGTCGATCGACGAAACCTTACATTCTTTTAACACAAAATATAAACACGCATATTTCACAAACTACATAACATAAATCAATTCTAGAGACACAGATGTGTCTCGCACACGAGATATTACGATGTTTTCTCTTTAATCTGAGTTTTAAGTGGAGCTTCTCATGTAATAAGAACTCTCTTGAAACACAGTGTTTTTACACTGTTTTTTGGAAGAAATATACTTTTCTGACGACACTTTTACGATTTTCTAAAATACTAAGCTTCCAATCGAAAAACGAATATCACCAGTAAACTCTCCATACAATTTCGTACTAGGTCCGTAGTTTTCAGAAAAATCCGTAACATGTCGAAACTCGCACAATCCATGGAACGACGAAACCTTACATTTTTTAACACAAATTATAAACTCGCATATTTCACAAACTATATCACATAAATAAATTCTAGAGACACAGATGTGTTTGTAAATTCATGT